AAGCTAAACTGCACAGGCTCAGTTTTTATGTATATGGCCAAGAGGTTATGTCCCTTAAGAATACTCAAAGCAGTTTGAGTTATTCGGAAATTCCAATTTAGAGTTCACAATTAAACATGGAACCTAATGCCTTTTGTCCAACTGATAGCTTATTGATTTACCTTATTCATTGAAGGTCATGAAATGCTCCATTATCATTATCGAACATCACCCTCAGTTCATGTTAGATGTTTGAAAGTTAGTAGTAGGTTCTGCGGTAGTCGTTCCTTAGGGGCGCCCCATGTGATGCACATTTACCAGGTCCGGACTGCCATCTCTTGATTTCCCGAAGCAGCTTCGAGCTGTCATAAGAAACATTTCTCCCTGCTTGTATGTATCACAAGTTTTGAGTTTCTTCTGTAGTTTGAGAGCCGAGATAAAGCGCAAAAAGCTATGGTCGAAAACTCAACCTGACACTCCATTTTAAAGAAATAAGAGTCGACAGATATCAAGAAATGGTAAAGAAGGCAATTATACTACCTTATAGAGTGGGAAGTTATGTATCATACAGCACAGAATACGTAAGGAGCGCTTTTGCATTTCATATGAAAAATTATTCAAGAAAAAACGGCATTACTTATAGGTCAACCCAATATTTAGAAAGAACCTTCTTGTTGTAGTTGATACCCTCTATTCGTTTTCCACAATTTCCTTTAACTCTGACGGTCCATCGCAAAAACAAAAGCTTTGAAAGTATCGCCTGGGGGCAGTACTGAAAGTCTTGCCTGGAGACAGTACATGGAAGACTATTTCCTCAGCATCCTACTTAACGGAGAGATTTCGGCTTTGATCTCTCTATTTGATGAAATCTACTTGAATGAGACCTTGGTTTTGGATAAGTGCGTTGCTTTGTTTTGCGTGCAGCCAAAGGTTCAGTTTGTGGTACCACAGAATGTTCAGCTTTCATCAACGGTCACCATACCTGCGAGAAAGTTCTAGGTTTAGGTTAAAAAGCAAGACAGTGCAGTACATTTAAGCGCAGCTTCGAGCGCTATACAGCAAGGTATTTCCTTATTACTTGATTTGACACTGCACTGCCACCTTGAATAAATCGGATCCGGGTGACAAGTTGCACATCTGGAACTTTATGAAACAAATATTTTGCAGCTTTTGCTGTAATCCAGATTTTTGAACCACGCCACTTTCATCTAGAATTTATCTCAAATGTGTTACTTATATCGTTAGTGTCATTTTTGTTCACCAGTGATTCATCGTCGATGGGATTGAATGACTAAATGTTCAAAACTGATTATCATAGAACTAATCCTATCTTTATATCAATGTAATCGTTGTGGCGATGTTGGATTCAAACTTAGCCCCCCTCCACCCTATTAAAAACCAGTCGGCTCGCCGGCTAACGCCGGCGCGCCTCTGATACGGCCCGGCTGCGCCGGGCGAGCGCGGCTTCGCCGCGCGTATTTTCTTTCACATATTTCTAGACTCAACTGATATCCGCCTTTTGTTCTGTACTCCACTTTTTTCCGGTGTCTGAAGTACTCTTGAGCTATTTTACAGATTCTTCGTCTGACTCCGCCCACCTCGGAGCAGGCCCCGCCCACAATGTTTGTGCCCCACAATCCTCACCGGCGACCCTCTGCTGACCTTAATCCACGTTTTTTTTTTCCGGTCTTTCGAAGTGCTCTGGACAGTTTTACACCAGAGATACCTTCTTTGTGTGGCTCGCCGCACCATGTTTTTGTCCTGCCACCAGTCCTCAACGCCCCTTATTGACCTGCATCTCACTTTATCTGGTCTTCGGAGTGTTCTGGAACGTTTTACAGACTCCTTTTTGTCTGGCATCGCCACCTCGGATAGCTCCGCCGCCAATGTTTATTGCCCCACAATCCTACCACAGCGACGACGCCTCTGCTGATAACTTTTTTTTTTGTCCCTTTCCCCCGGTTAGTGGTGTGTTTTGGCAAGTTCTAGAAGAGCCAATCTTGTGTCCGGACTCCCGCCCACAGTACGAGCAAGAGCTCCGGTACAATGTTTTGCTCGCTCATTGTGCCCTCCGCGCCGACTCTGCTGACCTTAACCTCTTTTCCTCGGTATCCCCTGGACTGCCTTCTGCCGCGAGGCCCCCGTGGCACGCTGTTTAAAATGAATACCCCCCCTCCGCGAACTTGGGCAAGCTGCCGCCCCTGTGGGCCCGGGTCTCAACACCACTTTGAGCGTGCGCCTACTTCTCTCGGATGTTTACAATCCTCATCACTGATTTTTGCCGACTCTCCATAGACCCTCGCGAACCGGGCCGTACTTTCGCCAAAAAGCCCCGCACCCCCCTTTCGAGTACCCCACCCCCCCCCCCCCCCCCCCCCCCGCCCATTTGGGTGTACCTCGCCCACCGTTATCTGGCAGCATCCTTACTAAGCCTCTAGTCCCCTCTTTCTTCACGCACATCTTTTAAGCTCGCTCCCAGGAGCGAATTATGAACCGCATTTTTCTGCGAACTGTGGGCGGGCAGCTTGTGCCAATAGGTCCCAACGTTGCGCTATTTATATTACTTGTCTCCATGCCTACCTATCCCCCTTGACTTGGACCCCTCTCACAACAGTCGATTCTTTCCGCCGTCGAACAGAATTTCCCGCGCCAGTCAACATTACAGAGTGTCACAAATAAACAACCAAACAACAGACAGACAAAGAGCGATCATATGGGGTGATCATTGACATAGGGTATTCTCTCGTTTGTTTCCTTGGTTATGCGTATTCTTATCTATTGCATTTGAGCACCATGATCTTTTTATTTCAAAATTTCAGGCTGTGAAGGATGCTCATACAGTCTGTTGTGAACTATCGTGTGGTGTACTGATGCAGCACATCAAGCGAGTGATGTTCAACCGTGGTGAGAGTTTCGAGGAGAACGCCGATCAACGAGTTGACGAAGAATCTGTCATCGACTTCATCTCCGCCGAAGACGTGGCTCCACCAGCGTCTATCGACGATGCAGAGTTACCTGAAGAGGTTCTCCTAGTCGAAACAGTTAATTGATTGATGGTGCTTCGCTTTAGTGCTGTTTTCTTTTTTTGCGCTCTCCATTATGTTTCTATACAGCAGATATAGTGAGCTTGAGTGATGAACTATGCGTGCACTAATATGTTTGTTGTTCATCGTGCTCGTATTTATTAATCCAATGTAGAAAACTACGTGTATACTTCCAGTTCCTGGTTTCTTTGTTGCTGTTTTCATATACGCATATTTGTAT